TTTTTCTTATAATTTTATATTATCTTAAAAAAAAAGAAAAAAAACTTTTTTTTAAGAAAACGTTTTGTCACTGTTGCTTTAAGTTTAGATTATCTAAAATTTCCTAAGGAAAATTACTTTTCTTAATTTTGAAATTAAAATGTTTAAAAATATATATTTATCTTTTTTTTCATTTTTTTCATAATTAGGAATTGCAAAAAAAAAAAAAAAAGAAACGTTGAACTATGAATTGCACATTATATATTAATACAAAATCAAGCTTGAATTTCTTATTTTTTAGAAAAAAATAAGTCAAATAAATTAAAACATTTTAATATTATTACAGAATCAATTTTTTATATAGAAAAAATATTTTTGTTTTTTTTATAGATTGTTTCTAAGTATTTATTTTCTATAACTTTTAATTTTTATAAAAATACTTCAATTACTTTTTACGACATGCAAATAATTTTTTTTTTTTTTTAAAGTAATTTTATATAATAACTTTTCTATATTATGGTCTAAATAACTATGTAACTCATAATTTTTTTAGTAAATTAAAAAGATTATTTCTATTAGTGCTAATGCATCTATTAAATTATCATATATTCGATTTTAATTTTATGAAATAAATAAACAATTATTCATTTTTTTTATTTTTGTATACATTTTAAAAATTTATTTTTATGATATATACAATTGTTCTATAATTTCCACTTTTTTTTATCTTTTTTGATATGCTTTAAAATTTTATAATTTTTAAAAAAAAGAAAAAGTGAAAAATGATAAAGATTATTAACATTGCCTTTTATTTAATTTTTTTAAATTCATATATTTGTGAAAACAATATAAGTTTGATAAATAAATCTGAAAGCACACAATTTGTAGATTTGCAAAAACCTAAATTAAGACATGGAGGTTTAAGTAGTAGTTATACTATAAGAGAGAAATATAATAATTTAGGAGGAGCAGATGAAAAATTACAAAACATCCAAGGGTTTTATAACACCAATGACATTCAAACAATTCAAGGTCAAGATGATCCTATACCAGCCACTGAAGATCCAAGTGCTCCAAAACATGAAGGCAAAGAAAGCTCACTAGACGAAACTTCGCAAGCACAGTTAAGTGAAAAAGGTGGTAGTGGAAGAGAGGATCATACAAGTACTCAAGCAGAAGAAACAAAAAGAGAAAGTGGACCAAATGAATCTGAAGAGGGTAGATCAGTTGTAGGGAATCCTAAATCTCCAAATTTAGAACATACAACAGCAGGAGATCAACACAAAACAAGTCCTTTAAATGAAGGATCAACATCAAGTGTAAAAAGTCAAGAAGGTAGTGAAGCGCAAAATCAATTAAAAACAATTCCAGGTCGTGAAGAACAACAAGAACCACCTCCTGGTGATTTAGAAAAAACGAAGATTATCGGTGGAGAAACAGTTGACAATAAAGGTGATGCAGGTTTACAAGAGGATAGGCAATCTATGGAAAAGCAAGAAGGTGATGCCGAAGATTCCGAAGATGATGAGGATGATGAAGATGATGATGGCGATGAAAGTGAAGGTGAAGAAGAAGATACAGGTACAGATAAAGGTAATGGTGTAGGCGGTAAAACAAAAAATAAAGGTAAGAAAAGAAAAAGTAAAGAAAAAGACGAATCACATTTACCAAAAGAAGCACAAGTAACACAAGATAGTGTAGGGCAACCTCAACATATTCAGAGTGATCCGGCAGTAACAAAGAGCGATCAAAAACACAGTTCTCAAGAACAACATGTAGAAAGAGCAAGTGGAGTTGATTCATCACCACAGAGGACAGCAGAAGGAGTCAAAAAAGAAGGCGAAAATTTGCCACCTGCTGATGTTTTACAAGTAAAAGAATTAACACCAGGACAACCACAATCGGAAGCATCATTACAGGAAACCAAAGTTATAGAAGGGGGAATTGCAAGGGGAAGTACAATCGATGATTCTACAAAAAAACAAACAGATCAAGGTGATTTAAATACTGAAAAAGAAATAAGTAAAGTGCAAAAAAGTGAGGAAGAAAAGAAAACACCCATAATACAAGAGATTAATGTTCCTGAAGATAGCTATGATGAGGACGATGAAGATGTGGAAGAAGAAGAAGAAGAACATGAGGTAGATGAAGAAGAAGAAGAAGATGAGGATAACGAAGAAGAAATAAATGAAGAAGAGGAATTAGATGACGAATTAGATTATGAAGAAATAGAAGAAAGTGAAGTTGAAGTTGAAGATGATGAAGATGATAGTGGAGGTGAAGATGAAAGTAGTCCGAGTGATGAAAGAGATACAAGAGATAGCCAAATGGAAAATGGAGATTCACTGAAAGATGAGAAACAACCAACAGGAGATATCTTATCTGAGGAAGAAATTTCAGAGTCTGCAATTGAGAAACAAAGAAAACAAGAAGATTCAAGAAGAACAGAAGAAGGTCAGTCACACGAAAATTCTGAACAAAAACAAAAGGAAATTATTACTCCATCAAATGATAGTAGTGCTCATAAATCATTAATTAAAGACTTCAAAGATGATAATAAGGTTAAAAAAGAAGCAGAAACTAAAGTAAAAAATATGATAAATTTAATTGGTGATAGTGGAGTTGTTGATACATTGAAAGATTTGGCCAAAGATATGGCTCAAATTTTTCTTAATCTTTAAAAAAAAATTATGTATTATTTGTATTGATGATAATCATAAATATAATTTTTATCATATTCCTCCTTATAGTATAAATTAAATATTGAATTAATTAACAATGTTTTACTTCATATTAGCCTCAAATAATTAGGATAGTCAAAAAAATAAAAATATAAAAATAAATGGTTACCTATTTTGTTTTATATATAATTATACTGCTATAAATAAATTATAAAAAATAGTGGATGTAATCAAAACAAAAATTCAAATAAATCTAGAGGATGAAAAAAGTTCATTAAAAAATAAAAATATAAATGATATATAAAAAAAAAAAAAATAATAATAATATGTATAATGATTATAGGATAATCAAATAACATTATTTCAAATTAACTGAAAACTTTTATCTTGTTTTTTATTGTATATTAGAAATTTCTAATTGTATTTATCAAAATTTTTAAAATGAAAATAAATTTTTTATTATTAAAATAATGAATAAAAAAAATAATTTGTAAAAAATGCTCTAAAGCAATTATAGAAACAATGATAGCAAAATACATAAAATTATCTGATGAATGAAAAATTGACAACCTGTTTATTAAATGGGACAATATTATTATTTTATAATTAAAAAAAATTACACAATATTTTAATTTAGGGTATTACACGGTTATTTATATGAAGTATTAGACCAAATATTTCTAAGAGAAAAAAAAATGTAAATTTTTTTCTTTTTTTAACCTTTAAGAAATTTAAAATTTTTGATTTTTTTTTTTTTTTTGTTTTTATAATAGAATTAAAATGTTATAGTTAACAAAGGAAATAAATGTTAGTTTTCTATATATCCATGAAATATATATGTTACAAAAGAAATTTTTTAGATATGAAAAAAGTTAAAAGGAAATACCTTACATTTTATTCAAATTTTTTTACCTTTTTTTTTTTTTTTTTTTAAATTATCAATTTTTATTTAACGAAATTAATTTCTTTTTAATTTTATTTTTTTATGTTATTTCATAAAAATTCTACTAAGTACAATAATATATTTTTAAGGGAAATAAATATTACAGTAATTTTTTATGTGCACACATTTTTATATTTCTTAATATACAAGCAATTTGAATACATTATTTCATTTTTCTTATAATTTTATATTATCTTAAAAAAAAAGAAAAAAAACTTTTTTTTAAGAAAACGTTTTGTCACTGTTGCTTTAAGTTTAGATTATCTAAAATTTCCTAAGGAAAATTACTTTTCTTAATTTTTATATTAAAATGTTTAAAAATATATATTTATTTTTTTTTTCATTTTTTTCTTAATTAGGAATTGCAAAAAAAGAAAAAAAAGAAACGTTGAACTATGAATTGCACATTATATATTAATACAAAATCAAGCTTGAATTTCTTATTTTTTACAAAAAAATAAGTCAAATAAATCAAAACATTTTTACATTACTAAAGAATCAAATTTTTATATAGAAAAAATATTTTTGTTTTTTTTATAGATTGTTTCTAAGTATTTATTATCTATAACTTTTAATTTTTATAAAAATACTTCAATAACTTTTTACGACATGCAAATAAATTTTTTTTTTTTTTTAAAGTAATTTTACATAATAATTTCTCTATATTATGGTCTAAATAACTATGTAACTCATAATTTTTTTAGTAAATTAAAAAGATTGTTTCTATTAGAGCTAATACATCTATGCAATTATCATATATTCGATTTTAATTGTATGAAAGAAATAAACAATTATTCATTTTTTTTATTTTTGTATACATTTTAAAAATTTATTTTTATGATATATACAATTGTTCTATAATTTCCACTTTTTTTTATCTTTTTTGATATGCTTTAAAAATTTATAATTTTTAAAAAAAAGAAAAAGTGAAAAATGATAAAGATTATTAACATTGCCTTTTATTTAATTTTTTTAAATTCATATATTTGTGAAAACAATATAAGTTTGATAAATAAATCTGAAAGCACTCAATTTGTAGATTTGCAAAAACCTAATTTAAGACATGGAGGTTTAAGTAATAGTTATACTATAAGAGAGAAATATAATAATTTAGGAAGAACAGATGAAAAATTACAAAACATCCAAGGGTTTTATAACACCAATGACATTCAAACAATTCAAGGTCAAGATGATTCTATACAAGCCGCTGTAGATCCAATTGCTCCAGAACATGCAAGCAAAGAAAGCTCACTAGACGAAACTTCGCAAGCACAGTTACGTGAAAAAGGTGGTAGTGGAACAGGGGATCATACAAGTACTCGAGAAGAAAAAACAAAAACAGAAAGTGGACAAAATGAATCTGAAGATGGCAAATCAGCTGTAGGAAATCCTACACCAAATTTAGAACATGCAACAGCAGGAGAACAACCTATAACAAGTCCTTCAACTGAAGGATTAATACCAAGTGTAAAAAATCCAGAAGATAGTAAAGCGCAAAATCAATTACAAACAATTCCAGATCATCAAGAACAACAAGAACCAGCTCCTTCTGGTGGTTTAGAACAAACAAAGATTGTCGGTGGAGTAACAGTTGACAATAAAGATGGTACAGGCTCACAAATGGATGGGCAACATGCGGACAAGCAAGAACATGATGCCGTAGATGATGAGGAAGATGAGGATGATGATGACGATGACGAGGAAAGTGCAGGTGAAGAACAAGATGAAGATATAGATACAGGTAATGGTGTAGACGGTAAACCTGAAGAAAAAGGTAAGAAGAAAAAAAAAAAAGAAAAAGACAAACCATCATTATCAACAGAACCACAAGCAGCACAAGATAGTGTAGAGCAACCTCAACCTATTCAGAGTGATTCGGCAGTAACAGAGAGCGCTCAAAAACATAGTTCTCAAGAACATGCAGAAAGCGCAAGTGTAGTTGATACATTAACACCGAGAACAGTAGCAGGAGTCACAAATGAAGATGAAAATTTGCCACGTGAAGATGCTTTACAAGAAAAAGCATTAACACCAGAAGTAAAACCAAAGCCGGAAGTATCATCACAGGAAACCAAAGTTATAGAAGAGGGAACTGTAGGGGGAAGTACAAGTGGTCATTCTACAGAATTACCAACAGATCAAAGTGATTTAAATGCTGCAAAAGAAGTAGACAAGGTACAAACAAGTGAACAAGAAAAGCAAACACCCATAATACAAGAGATTGCTGTTCCTGAAGGTAGCTATGATGAGGGAGATGAAGATGTGGAAGAAGAAGAAGATGAAGTAGATGAAGAAGAAGAAGAAGATGAGGATGAGGATGACGAAGAAGAATTAAATGAAGAAGAGGAATTAGATGGCGAATTAGATTATGAAGAAATAGAAGAAGGTGAAGTTGAAGTTGAAGATGAAGGTGAAGGAGAAGGAGAAGATGAAGATGATGATAGTGGAGGTGAAAATGAAAGTAGTCCGAGTGATGAAAGAGAAACAAGAGATAGACAAATGGAAAATGGGGATATGCAGAAACATGAGAAACAACCAACAGATGATATCTTATCTGAGGAAGAAATTTCAGAGTCTGCAATTGAGAAACAAAAAAAACAAGAAGAGTCTTCAAGAAAAGCAGAACAAGATCAGTCACAGGAACATTCTGAACAACAAAAACAAAAGGAAATTAAGCCTCCATCAAATGATAGTAGTGCTCATAAATCATTAATTAAAGACTTTAAAGATGATACTAAGGTTAAAAAAGAAGCAGAAAATAAAGTAAAAAATATGATAAATTTAATTGGTGATAGTGGAGTTGTTGATACATTGAAAGATTTGGCCAAAGATATGGCTCAAATTTTTCTTAATCTTTAAAAAAAAATTACGTATTATCTGTATTGATGATAATCATAAATATACTTTTTATAATATTCCTCCTTATAGTATAAATTAAATATTCAATTAATTAACAATGTATTACTTCATATTAGCCTCAAATAATTAGGATGGTCAAAAAAATAAAAATATAAAAATAAATGATTACCTATTTTGTTTTATATATAATTATACTGCTATAAATAAATTATAAAAAATAGTGGATGTAATCAAAACAAAAATTCAAATAAATCTAGAGGATGAAAAAAGTTCATTAAAAAATAAAAATATAAATGATATACAGAAAAAAAAAAAATAATAAGTATAATGATTATAGGATAATCAAATAACATTATTTCAAATTAACTGAAAACTTTTATATTGTTTATTATTGTATATTAGAAAGTTCTAATTGTATTTATCAAAATTTTTAAAATGAAAATAAATTTTTTATTATTAAAATAATGAATAAAAAAAATAATTTGTAAAAAATGCTCTAAAGCAATTATAGAAACAATGATAGCAAAATACATAAAATTATCTAATGAATGAAAGTTTGATAAGATGTTTATTAAATGGGACAATATTATTATTTTATAATTAAAAAAAATTACACAATATTTTAATTTAGGGAATTACATGGTTATTTATATGAAGTATTAGGCCAAATATTTCTAAGACAAAACAAAATGTAAATTTTTTTCTTTTTTTAACCTTTAAAGAATTTAAAATTTTTGATTTTTTTTTTTTTGTTTTTATAATAGAATTAAAATGTTATAGTTAACAAAGGAAATAAATGTTAGTTTTCTATATATCCATGAAATATATATGTTACAAAAGAAATTTTTTAGATATGAAAAAAGTTAAAAGGAAATACCTTACATTTTATTCAAATTTTTTTACCTTTTTTTTTTTTTTTTTAAATTATCAATTTTTATTTAACGAAATTAATTTCTTTTTAACTTTATTTTTTTATGTTATTTCATAAGAATTCTACTAAAGTACAATAATATACTTTAAAGGGAAATAAATATTACAGTAATTTTTTATGTGCACACATTCATATATTTCCTAATATACAAGCAATTTGAATACATTATTTCATTTTTCTTATAATTTTATATTATCTTAAAAAAAAAGAAAAAAAAATTTTTTTTTTATGAAAATATTTTGTCACTGTTGCTTTAAATTTAGATTATCTAAAATTTTCTAAAGAAAATTACTTTTCTTAATTTTGAAATTAAAATGTTTAAAAATATATATTTATTTTCTCTTTCATTTTTTTCATAATTAGGAATTGCAAAAAAAAAAAAAAAAAAGAAACGTTGAACTATGAATTGCACATTAGATATTAATACTAAAGCAAGCTTGAATTTCTTATTTTTTACAAAAAAATAAGTCAAATAAATCAAAACATTTTTACATTACTAAAGAATCAAATTTTTATATAGAAAAAATATTTTTGTTTTTTTTATAGATTGTTTCTAAGTATTTATTATCTATAACTTTTAATTTTTATAAAAATACTTCAATAACTTTTTACGACATGCAAATAAATTTTTTTTTTTTTTTAAAGTAATTTTACATAATAATTTCTCTATATTATGGTCTAAATAACTATGTAACTCATAATTTTTTTAGTAAATTAAAAAGATTATTTCTATTAGAGCTAATGCATCTATTAAATTATCATATATTCGATTTTAATTTTATGAAATAAATAAACAATTATTCATTTTTTTTATTTTTGTATACATTTTAAAAATTTATTTTTATGATATATACAATTGTTCTATAATTTCCACTTTTTTTTATCTTTTTTGATATGCTTTAAAATTTTATAATTTTTAAAAAAAAAAAAAAAGTGAAAAATGATAAAGATTATTAACATTGCCTTTTATTTAATTTTTTTAAATTCATATATTTGTGAAAACAATGTAAGTTTGATAAATAAATCTGAAAGCACTCAATTTGTAGATTTGCAAAAACCTAATTTAAGACATGGAGGTTTAAGTAATAGTTATCCAATAAAAGAGAAATATAATAATTTAAGAGGAACAGATGAAAAATTACAAAACATCCAAGGGTTTTATAACACCAATGACATTCAAACAATTCAAGGTCAAGATGATCCTATGCAAGCCACTGAAGATCCAAATCATCTAAAATCTGCAAGCAAAGAAAACTCAGAAGGCGGAACGTTGCAAGCAGAGTCAGGTGAAAAAGATGTTAGTGGGACAGGGGATCATACAAGTGCTCAAGAAGAAGGAATAAAAAAAGAAAGTGTACAAAATAAATCTGAAGATGGCAAATCAGCTGTAGGTAATCCTCCTTCTCAAAATTTAGAAAATACAACAGCAGAAGATCAACCTATAACAAGACCTTTAACTGAAGGATTAGCACCAAGTGTAAAACATCCAGAAGTTAGTGAACCGCAAAATCAAGTACAAACAATTCCCGGTCAACAAGAACAAGAACCAGCTCCTTCTGATGGTTTAGAAAAAACAAAAACCGGTGGAGTAACAGTTGACAATGATGATGGTAAAGGTTCACAAAAGGAAAGGCAACATGAGGACCAGCATGAAGGTGATGCCGAAGGTCATGATGATGAGGAAGATGAGGAAGATGAGGATGATGATGACGACGAAAGTGAAGAACCAGATGCAGGTACAGATACGCGTAATGGTGTAGACGGTAAACCTGAAAAAAAAGGTAAGAAAAGAAAAAGTAAAAAAAAAGACAAACCATCACTATCAACAGAACCACAAGCAGCACAAGATAGTGTAGAGAAAGCTCAAACTATTAAGAGTGACCCGGTAGTACCAGATGGAGTTCAAGAACATAGTTCTCAAGAACATGCAGAAAGCGCAAGTGGAGATGATTCATTAACACCGAGAACAGTAGCAGGAGTCACAAAAGAAGATGAAAATTTGCCACGTGATGATGCTTTACAAGAAAAAGAATTAACACCAGAAGGAAAACTAAAGCCGGAAGCATCATTACAGGAAACCAAAGTTATAGAAGAGGGATCTGTAGGGGGAAGTACAAGCGGTGATTCTACAAAATTACCAACAGATCAAAGTGATTTAAATGCTGCAAAAGAAGTAGATAAGGTACAAAAAAGTGAACAAGAAAAGCAAACACCCATAATGCAAGAGATTGCTGTTCCTGAAGGTAGCTATGATGAGGGCGATGAAGATGTGGAAGAAGAAGAAGAAGATGAAGTAGATGAAGAAGAAGAAGAAGATGAGGATGACGAAGAAGAAATAAATGAAGAAGAGGAATTAGATGGCGAATTAGATTATGAAGAAATAGAAGAAGGTGAAGTTGAAGATGAAGATGAAGGTGAAGATGAAAGTAGTCCGAGTGATGAAAGAGAAACAAGAGATAGACAAATGGAAAATGGAGATTTACTGGAAGATGAGGAAAAACCATCAGAAGATATCTTATCTGAGGAAGAAATTTCAGAGTCTGCAATTGAGAAACAAAGAAAACAGGAAGAGTCTTCAAGAAAAACAGAACAAGATCAGTCACAGGAACATTCTGAACAACAAAAGCAAAAGGAAATTAAGCCTCCATCAAATGATAGTAGTGCTCATAAATCATTAATTAAAGACTTTAAAGATGATACTAAGGTTAAAAAAGAAGCAGAAAATAAAGTAAAAAATATGATAAATTTAATTGGTGATAGTGGAGTTGTTGATACATTGAAAGATTTGGCCAAAGATATGGTTCAAATTTTTCTTAATTTTTAAAAAAAAATTACGTATTATCTTTATTGATGATAATCATAAATATACTTTTTATCATATTCCTCCTTATAGTATAAATTAAATATTCAATTAATTAACAATGTTTACTTCACATTAGCCTCAAATAATTAGGATAGTCAAAAAAATAAAAATATAAAAATAAATGGTTACCTATTTTGTTTTATATATAATTATACTGCTATAAATAAATTATAAAAAATAGTGGATGTAATCAAAACAAAAATTCAAATAAATATAGAGGATGAAAAAAATTCATTAAAAAATAAAAATATAAGTCATATACAAAAAAAAAAAAATATAAAGATTCTAGGATAATCAAATAACATTATTTCAAATTAACTGAAAACTTTTATCTTGTTTATTATTGTAGATTAGAAAAATTTTAATTATATTTATATAAATTTGAAATGAAAATAAATTTTTTATTATTAATATAATGAATAAAAAATATAATTTGTAAAAAGTACTATAAAGTAACAATAGGAATGATGGCAACAAAAATATATGGAAGTATTTAGTGAACAAACATAAACTAATTTATAAAACATAAAATCAATTAAATTAATTTTTTTTTAAGAAATGTGTAACAAGTTTATCATGAGTATTATTAAACCGAACATTCTCCTTTGAGATATTAAAGTTAAAATATATAATTCTTTTTTATATATTTATACAAAAAGATTTCTTTTCTTTTTATGTTGCTAAATTTTAAAATTTATTTATCAAATTTTTTTTTATCTATTATTTAGAAAAGAAAAAATATATTATAGTTAAAAAACGTATAAATTTTATGTTTTACAAAGTATAAAAAGTTTAGTAGGATTTTTTGAAGGGCAATAAAAAATCTGAGGTAGCTACCTTAACATGTCATATAAATTAATTTTCACTTTTATTACTACTATTTTTTTTTTTTTTTTTTTTTGACACAATTTAGTCAAATGTTAATATGTTGTCATATTATGTTCATAAATAAAGAGAAAAAACAATTAAGAATCAGAAAAAAAATGTTACCTGCACACATTACATTTAACTCACTTCTAATGTTTCAATATTAAGAATTATATAAATACATAAATTATAATTTCACATAATATTACAGTATAAAAAAAAAAAAAATAAAATTACAATAACCCTTTTATAAACTTAAATTTAAATGAGTATAATTTACTTTTAAGTTGAATTATACTTTTTTATTATCAAGCTCAAAGGGATATAATATTTATTTGAAAAATTTTTATTTGTTTAAGATTATATTAGTAGAGCAGATATTTCCTTTTATTGACATTGAAATATATAAAATATAAGTTATATATTTATATTTTTTTTTTTTTTTAATTTTTAATTGAACAAAAAAAAAAAAAAAAAGGAAACACCTAACTATAAGTAGCGTGCTAGATGTTTATACAAAAACAAGTTTTCACTCTGATTTTTTTTTTGAAAAAACATTAGATTTAAGAAAAAAGGAAAATATTTCTTTTTTTTTTTTGGTATATTAAGAGTATGTTTTATTTGCTTTTTTATAGATTATTTCTAAGTATTTATGTTTCGTCACTTTTTACTTTTTCAAAAATGCTTTTATTACTTTTCACTAAATTCTAACTAAAATTTTTTTTTTTTGTTCTTAAAATAGTTTTATATAAAAGCTTCTCATTAATATAATTATTTAAATAGGTGACTACAAAATTTCCCAGATTTTTTAGTAGAATTAAAAAGATTTATGTCAATAAAACTAATATATTTCATGTAATTATCTCTTATTCATTTTTTTTTAAGGGAAAAAGTAGTAGTTGCTCATTTTATTTCTTATACCTCTTGAAAGTTATTTTTACATTAATTAAAATTTTTGTAAAACTCAATTTTTTTTTTTTTTTTTTTTTAATGTATTAAAAAATTTTACAACTTTTTAAAAAAAAAGGAAATAGTTAAAAATGAAGAAAATTTTAAGTATTTCTTTTTATTTGTTTTTTTTAAATTTATATATATGTGAAAACAATGAAAATTTAATAGATAAAGGTGAAAACATTAAAAATAAAGATTCACAAAAACCTAATTTAAGAAATGGAAATTTAGATAATTATCTTTTTTTAAAACAGAATCTTTCTGATTCAGTAAAAGGATATGAATATTTGCAAGATATTGGAAATTTTTATAATTCCGAGAAAAATTACGCAATTCAAGGTCAAACTGAAGTAGATGCAAGAAGTGAAATTACTCAAAATCAACAAGGAACTAATGAACCTGGAGAAGATTTAAAAAAAGTTGATTTAGAAGAAAATCCTCCTACACAATTAGGTGATGGATTACAAAAAGCACTGGAAGGTGATCAGGGAAGTAAAGAACCAATAAGTTCTCCATCAGAATTACAGGTAAAGACAGATCCTTCACCAATGTCACCCAATAAAGAAGATCATATGGAAAATATAGAATTAACAGTTAAAGCAGAAGGAGATCCAGAAGTGCAAGCTGAAACAGTAAATGGCATTACACCTAGCCCAATTCAAAGTAGCGACACAGGTTCTGGTAGTACTGCCGGTGGTGATCATAATAAGGGAAGTCCAGCTGGTAGTCATACAACTAATGGAAATTTAGGAGAAAGCGTGGGTAATACTCAACAGCAAAATCAAACATTACAAGAACCACAATTAATAGAAAAATCATTGAAAGAAGGAGAAAAGGAGCAACTACAAGCTGATTTAGAACAACAAAGCCCTAGTCAAACACAAAAGGGAACAACAACTGGTAAGATCGAATTAATAGAATCACCTGAACGTGATGAAGATGATGATAATGAAGAAGAAGAAGAAGAAGTAGAAGAAGTTGTAAAACCACCTGCAGAAAAAAAAGTAAATGTATTAGAATCAATAGAAGTAGCTGATGGTGAACTTGGAGATTTAAGTGAAGATGAAGAAGAAGAGGAAGAAGAACATGAAGTAGAAGAAGAAGAAGAAGAAGAAGATGAAGATGAAGAGAGTGAAGAACAAAGAGATGAAGGAGAAGAGGAATTAGATTATAGCGATATAGAAGAAGATGAAGATGAGGACGATGAAGAAGGTGATAGTGAAGAAGATGAAGATAGTGTGGTTGATAAAGAAACAGGAGATAGGCAAATGGAAGATGGAGATTTATTGGAGGAAGATAGACAACCACCAAATGAGATCTCACCAGAACAAGAAACTCCAGATACTATAAGTGAGGAACGAAGAAAACAAGAAGAGTCAAGAAGAACAGAAGAAGGTCAGTCACACGAAAATTCTGAACAAAAACAAAAGGAAATTATTACTCCATCAAATGATAGTAGTGCTCATAAATCATTAATTAAAGACTTTAAAGATGATAATAAGGTTAAAAAAGAAGCAGAAACTAAAGTAAAAAATATGATAAATTTAATTGGTGATAGTGGAGTTGCTGATACATTGAAAGATTTGGCCAAAGATATGGCTCAAATTTTTCTTAATCTTTAAAAAAAAAAATACGTATTATCTGTATTGATGATAATCATAAATATACTTTTTATAATATTCCTCCTTATAGAATAAATTAAATATTCAGCTAATTAACAATGTTTTACTTCACATTAGCCTCAAATAATTAGGATAGTCAAAAAAATAAAAATATAAAAATATATGGTTACCTATTTTGTTTTATATGTAATTATACTGCTATAAATAAATTATAAAAAATAGTGGATGTAATCAAAACAAAAATTCAAATAAATCTAGAGGATGAAAAAAGTTCATTAAAAAATAAAAATATAAATGATATACAGAAAAAAAAAAAAATAATAAAAAGTATAATGATTATAGGATAATCAAATAACATTATTTCAAATTAACTGAAAACTTTTATCTTGTTTATTATTGTAGATTAGAAAAATTTTAATTGTATTTATCAAAATTTTTAAAATGAACATATATTTTTTATTATTAAAATAATGAATAAAAAAAATAGTTTGCAAAAAGTACTATAAAGTAACAATAGGAATGATGGCAAGAAAAATATATGGAAGTATTTAGTGAACAAACATAAACTAATTTATAAAACGTAAAAACAATTAAATTAATTTTTTTTTAAGAAATGTGTAACAAGTTTATCATGTGTATTATTAAACCGAACATTCTCCTTTGAGATATTAAAGTTAAAATATATAATTCTTTTTTATATATTTATACAAAAAGATTTCTTTTCTTTTTATGTTGCTAAATTTTAAAATTTATTTATCAAATTTTTTTTTATCTATTATTTAGAAAAGAAAAAATATATTATAGTTAAAAAACGTATAAATTTTATGTTTTACAAAGTATAAAAAGTTTAGTAGGATTTTTTGAAGGGCAATAAAAAATCTGAGGTAGCTACCTTAACATGTCATATAAATTAATTTTCACTTTTATTACTACTATTTTTTTTTTTTTTTTTTTTGACACAATTTAGTCAAATGTTAATATGTTGTCATATTATGTTCATAAATAAAGAGAAAAAACAATTAAGAATCAGAAAAAAAATGTTACCTGCACACATTACATTTAACTCACTTCTAATGTTTCAATATTAAGAATTATATAAATACATAAATTATAATTTCACATAATATTACAGCATAAAAAAAAAAAAAAATATAAAATTACAATAACCCTTTTATAAACTTAAATTAAAATGAGTATATTTTACTTTTAAGTTGAATTATACTTTTTTATTATCAAGCTCAAAGGGATATAATATTTATTTGAAAAATTTTTATTTGTTTAAGATTATATTAGTAGAGCAGATATTTCCTTTTATTGACATTGAAATATATAAAATATAAGTTATATATTTATATTTTTTTTTTTTTTTAATTTTTAATTGAACAAAAAAAAAAAAAAAAAAAAAANACATTTAACTCACTTCTAATGTTTCAATATTAAGAATTATATAAATACATAAATTATAATTTCACATAATATTACAGTATAAAAAAAAAAAAAATAAAATTACAATAACCCTTTTATAAACTTAAATTTAAATGAGTATAATTTACTTTTAAGTTGAATTATACTTTTTTATTATCAAGCTCAAAGGGATATAATATTTATTTGAAAAATTTTTATTTGTTTAAGATTATATTAGTAGAGCAGATATTTCCTTTTATTGACATTGAAATATATAAAATATAAGTTATATATTTATATTTTTTTTTTTTTTTAATTTTTAATTGAAAAAAAAAAAAAAAAAAAAAAAAAGGAAACGCCTAACTATAATTAGCGTGCTAGATGTTTATACAAAAACAAGTTTTCACTCTAATTTTTTTTTTGAAAAAACATTAGATTTAGAAAAAAAGGAAAATATTTCATTTTTTTTTTTGGTATATTAAGAGTATGTTTTATTTGCTTTTTTATAGATTATTTCTAAGTATTTATGTTTCGTCACTTTTTACTTTTTCAAAAATGCTTTTATTACTTTTCACTAAATTCTAACTAAAATTTTTTTTTTTTGTTCTTAAAATAGTTTTATATAAAAGCTTCTCATTAATATAATTATTTAAATAGGTGACTACAAAATTTCCCAGATTTTTTAGTAGAATTAAAAAGATTTATGTCAATAAAACTAATATATTTCATGTAATTATCTCTTATTCATTTTTTTTTTGTGGGAAAAAGTAGTAGTTGCTCATTTTATTTCTTATACCTCTTGAAAGTTATTTTTACATTAATTAAAATTCTTGTAAAACTCAATTTTTTTTTTTTTTTTTTTTTAATGTGTTAAAAAATTTTACAACTTTTTAAAAAAAAAGGAAATAGTTAAAAATGAAGAAAATTTTAAGTATTTCTTTTTATTTGTTTTTTTTAAATTTATATATATGTGAAAACAATGAAAATTTAATAGATAAAGGTGAAAACATTAAAAATAAAGATTCACAAAAACCTAATTTAAGAAATGGAAATTTAGATAATTATCTTTTTTTAAAACAGAATCTTTCTGATTCAGTAGAAGGATATGAATATTTGCAAAATAATGGAAATTTTTATAATTCCGAGAAAAATTACGCAATTCAAGGTCAAACTGAAAATTTGGGGCTGGAAAGTAAAAGTGAATTAGATGCAAAAACTGAAATTACTCGAAATCAACAAGGAACTAATGTACCTGGAGGAGGTGATTTAAAAAAAGTTGATTTAAAAGAAAGTCCTCCTACACAATTAAGTGATGGATTACAAAAAGCACTGGAAGGTGATCAGGAAAGTGGCAAACAAATAAGTTCTCCATCAGAATTACAGGTAAAGACAGATCCTTCACCAATATCACCCAATAAAGATCATACGGAAAATGGAGAATTAACAGTTAAAGCAGAAGGAGATTCATCAGTACAGTCTGATACAGTAGGTAGCGTCCAACCTAGTTCAGTTGAAAATAGCGGCGCAGGTTCTGGTAGTACTGTCGGTGGTAATCATGGCAGTGGAATTCAAGCTGATAGTCATACAACTAATGGAATTTTAAGAGAAAACGCGGTTGATACTCAACAGCAAAATCGTGCATTAGAAGAACAACAATTAAAAGAAAAATTATTGAAAGATGAAGAAAAGGAGCAACTACAAACTGGTTTAGAACAACAAAGCCCTAGTCAAGCACAGAGTGTAACAACAGGACAAGATAAGGCTAATCCACAAGGTACAGAGAACGTGAGCTTAGTGACTGCATCATCTGATATATCAGATCCAAAAGCTCCTTTAGACAAAGGAAGTGAACCAAAGGCAGAAGAAACACAAAAGGGATCAACAACTGGTAAGTTAGAATTAATAGAATCACCTCAACATGATGAAGATGATGATAATGAAGAAGAAGAAGAAGAAGTAGAAGAAGTTGTAAAACCACCTGCAGAAAAAAAAGTAAATGTATTAGAATCAATAGAAGTAGCTGATGGTGAACTTGGAGATTTAAGTGAAGATGAAGAAGAAGAGGAAGAAGAACATGAAGTAGAAGAAGAAGAAGAAGAAGAAGAAGAAGATGAAGAGAGTGAAGAACCGAGAGATGAAGGAGAAGAGGAATTAGATGAAGAATTAGATTATGGCGATATAGAAGAAGATGAAGATGAGGACGATGAAGAAGGTGATATTGAAGAAGATGAAGATAGTGTGGGTGATAAAGAAACAGTAGATAGGAAAATGGAAGATGGAGATTTACTGGAAGACGATAGACAACCACCAAATGACATCTCGCCAGAACAAGAAATTCCAGATACTATAAGTGAGGAACGAAGAAAACAAGAAGAGTCAAGTAGAACAGAACAAGGTCAGTCACACGAAAATCCTGAACAAAAACAAAAGGAAATTATTCCTCCATCAAATGATAGTAGTGCTCATAAATCATTAATTAAAAACTTTCAAGAAGATAATAAGGTTAAAAAAGAAGCAGAAACTAAAGTAAAAAATATGATAAATTTAATTGGTGATAGTGGGGTTGTTGATACATTGAAAGATTTGGCCAAAGATATGGCTCAAATTTTTCTTAATCTTTAAAAAAAAATTATGTATTATCTGTATTGATGATAATCATAAATATACTTTTTATCATATTCCTCCTTATAGTATAAATTAAATATTCAATTAATTAACAATGTATTACTTCACATTAGCCTCAAATAATTAGGATAGTCAAAAAAAGAAATATATAAAAATATATGGTTACCTATTTTGTTTTATATATAATTATACTGCTATAAATAAATTATAAAAAATAGTGGATGTAATCAAAACAAAAATTCAAATAAATCTAGAGGATGAAAAAAGTTCATTAAAAAATAAAAATATAAGTCATATACAAAAAAAAAAAAAAAAAATAATAAAAAGTATAATGATTATAGGATAATCAAATAACATTATATCAAATTAACTGAAAACTTTTATATTGTTTTTTATTGTAGATTAGAAAATTCTAATTGTATTTATCAAATTTTTTAAAATGAAAATAAATTTTTTATTATTAAAATAATAAATAAAAAAAATAATTTGTAAAAATTGCTTTAAGGTAATTATAGAAACAATGATAGCAAAATATATAAAAAAATTATCTAATAAATGAAAGTTTGATAAGATGTTTATAAAATTGAATATTTTTATTTTTTTTATAATTAACTTACACAAATGTTTTATTTTAAAAAATTACACATTTGCTTATATATAGTATTTAACATAACACTATATGTAAAGCTATTGCATATTTTACTATATTTTTTTTATGTAAATTTTTTATAGAAACAATTGTTTTTTCATTTTTTTTTTATTAAACTTTTTTTACTAATTATTTTATAATTATAAAAGTATATTTAAAATTAAGAAAGATATTAACATTTATTTTATTATTTTATATATTCTTATCAAAATGTAAAAAATTTCATTAAAAGTAAAATTAATAAAATATGAAAGATAAAAAATATTTCTTTAATAAATAAGAATCATAATAAAAAGTTGTACATTTATCGTAAACACATAAGAATGGTACATTTTTTTTTAATATATTTTTTTATCAAATAAAAAATACTAAATTTATAAGTTTTTTTTTTTTTAATCCAAGTGTATATAAACAAATAATGCTTCTAAAAATTTTTATTTTAAAATTCTTTAGGTGATTACACCTATTTATATCAAAGAAATGTTATTATAATTAATATATTTATATACATAATTTAAGGAAGAGATTTCGCATACTTCTTTATGTCATAATGTTTATAAAGAAATATTAATAATACATATAAAAATACATAAAATTTTAAATAATAAGAAGTTATTTTTATTAAAAATACATTTCGTATCATAATTTTTTTATAATCATATATATATATTTATTTCTATAACTAATTACGGTTTCTTGCAAAAAATATTGCTTTATGAATACTTTTTTATATTAATATTTTTATATATTGAGAACTATTAATTTTTGGTATATCTTTGTGTAACCGAATTTTTCCCATTATAGTTAAATTTATTTATTTTTTTTTTTTCCCCTTTTACTTAATATTATTTATTTTCTCTTGTTTTTTTTTTCTTAAATAATTATATAAAATAAGTTTATTTAATCGTAATTTATTATTATTTTTTTTTTTTTTTTTTCTTTAATTTTGTTTATTTATAGACTGTGAATTTTTTTTGATAACATTTTTTTTCTTAAGTTGTAACTTTTTTATTATATTTTTTTTAACATGGAGTTTTAAATAATGTAAAAAAAAAAAAAAAATAAAATAAAATTATTAAAATAATATATTAAAAAAAAGTTTTTAATTTTGCCATTTGGGAAAATTGAAAAATATAGTATTGAAAATAATGAAATAAACATAAGGAAAAAATGTTATCGCGAGTTTTCTTATGGAATAGAGTTTCTTGCTCATTGTCTTTTATACCTATGAGAGCTCCTACTAAAAAAAAAAATATACAAGAGAAAAAAAAAAAGGAAGAGTAATTAAATTATTATTATAAAAAAATTTATTAGAATTTATAACATATATTTATTATTATTTTTTTTTTTTTTTTTTTTTTTTTGAAGTACTGATGAAAAAGAAAAATTAAGTGAAACAAGATATTTACCATACATTCCTCCTGCATATGTTGTTGATACTGTATCTTTTTTTAAGGATAAAAATAAATTAGATAATTTATTGTCCTTAATATTTAGCCCAAAAAATTCAACTGATTCTTATGAAGATAGAGTAGAATATCAGAAGAATTTTGAAATATATCAAATTTTAAAAGAAGTAAGATAAAATTTTTTTCTTTAATTTTTTAAATGAAAAAAAAAAAAAAAAAAAAAAAAAAAATCATTATTATGTAAATATATATCTGAAATTATTAGACTTCATAAAATATTGAGAAAAATTAAATATTGTGTTGTATAGTTATGCATATATATTTTGATAAAATTACCATATAAAAATTAAATTTACTTAAAAATTTTTAGAAGGAGGAGAATAAGTATGAGAAACATTTAGAAAGAATGAAAGAAAAAATTTTTAAATCAATCGAAAATTTACCAGAAGAATTATATGACGAAAGTATTAAAAGGGGAGACTTATTAGACAATAAGGAAATTCAATTTGGTTTAAAATATGAAAATGACTTAGTAAAAAATATGAATGTATACAAAAAAAAGTTACTTCATGTTTATAAAATATTACTTTACTTAAGATATCCTTTTTATTTAATTAAAAGAAAAAATCCCTTACTATTTTATATAAGTGAAAGTAAAGCAATAAGTAGACAAAAACAAATTAATTCTCAAAAAAAAAAATTGAAAAAAAAATAATTTTCCTTAATGTGAAATAGTAAAATTTATATTATAATGAAAAAAAAAAAAAAAAAAAAAAAAATAATGTAATATAAACAACTAAATATTTATTATTAAAAGTTTAAAATATGCAATAAAATAATGAGGATAAAAAAAAAAAAAAAAAAAAAAATAATGCATTTTTGTATAAATATAAACAAATGATACATTACAGTATACCAAGAAATCACAAAAAATTGAAAAAGTTTAAATTTCTTCATCACTTTCGCTATATTCCTTTTAAATTAAAAAAAAAAAAAAAAAAAATAAATTAAAATAAAATATATTTGTTATGTATGTTGTTTCTATAAAATATCATATTTTATGTTTTTTAAATTAATTTTTTTTATATATATATATTTTTCAAATAAAATAATTATAGGTTTTATAAATGTTTTTTTTAGTGATATATTTATTTTTAATTTTTGTCATACCATATTGCTTATAACTTTTTTTTTATATAAATATCTTTCTAAGTCTTTCGTTTTAAAATTATCTTTATCTGTTAAAATTTATTTTATAATAAAACATATATGAATATATAAACAGTTTTTTAATTTTTTTAAAAAGAATAATGTTCTTAATTTTTTTTTTTTTTTTTTCTTCGTACTGCCAAAATTTTCAAAACCAATACATGTGTGAATAAGTACACCATCAATAAATAAACATAAGCTTGGTAAAACATTTATATTTAATTTTTTCATAAAAAATAGACAATTTTTTGCTTCAACTCTAAAAGAAGAATAATAATTGATAAATCTCAAATAAGATATATTAAAAAATACACCAACTTTATATATTTAAACATTATAATTTTTTCTTTTACTTAATAAATTTAGTCGCTAGATGTATATTTGCTAGTTTAATCAAATGAGAATGTAAAATTTCGCAACGATTGAAACTATTATCATAAAAGTGGCAAATCTTTAAAAAGACATAAGAAAAATAAAATTTAAGTAAAATGTTATGTTGTAAAAATACTTTTTTAGATAATCTACTTACCACATTATAATTTTTAAGAACTGTTGGTAAAAAGTCTTTTTCACTTATTTCAATATAAACGCCTTCTTTTTTTAATTCCTTTTTTTTCTTTTATAATAATAAAAATTTTAAAGAAATTATTATATTTTTACAATAATCAAATATAATTATGAACATAGTTTAATAATCATGGTTTTTTTTTTTTTTTTTTTTTTTTTTTTTTTTTTTTTTTTTTCTTTTTTTTTT